GAAACAATATCTATGCGTTGCTTTTTAAGAATACCAATATATTTTTTTTTGTCTAGAATTTATCATCATATAATGTAGATCCAAGTGAAATATCAGTTTCTGGTTTATCTTCAGGTGCATACTTTGCCACACAGATACAAGTGGCATTTTCAGCGTCAATAAAAGGTGCTGGAATCATAGCTGGTGGTCCCTATGACTGCGCAGCACAAATGAGTTACATAAGTTGTATGCTCAACAGTAATCCATCCATTACTCAATCTATTTTAAATACAAAATTGTGGAGTGGAAACAAAATTGATGATATAAAAAATTTAGTAAAACACAAAGTTTATATGATCTGGGGAACATCTGATCCATTAGTAGGTGCTTCAGTAATGACTCAATTATACAAATACTATGTGACCGATGGTCAATTTATTCCAAGTAAAAATGTTGTATTTAAAAATGATTTAAATGCTGCACATACATTTCCAACTGATTTTGATAGTATTGGTAATAATGATTGTGGATTGACAAGTATTCCTTTTATTAGTAACTGTGACTTCGATGGAGCAGGAGCGATACTTGAACATATTTATGGACCTTTAAAGCCAAGAAATAATGGAGTATTGAATGGGAAGTTTATTGAATTTAATCAAGGAGAATTTTTAATGAATTCGAGTGCTTATGGAATGAGTGATACAGCATGGATTTATGTACCTAAAAGTTGTTCTGACGGGACCATTTGTAAATTGCACATTACATATCATGGTTGTCAACAAAGTTACGAAAAAATTGGGGATAAATACATTAAAAATACAGGATATAACCGTTGGGCTGATACTAATAATATTATTGTTTTATATCCACAAACCGTTGCTACAAATACAATAGATTCGACAGATGGAGAATTAACTCCAAATGTACACGGTTGTTGGGACTGGATTGGATGGTACGGAAGTGACTTTGATGTTAAAAGTGGTAAACAATCAAGTGCTATGAAAAAAATGATGGACCGTATAACGAGTGGTTTCAATCCGATAGATCGGTTCACTGAACTTCAGATTCTTACTACTACACATAATTCAGTTTCTCTTTCATGGAGAAATGTTTTAAGCGCAAACGGATACAATATATACAGAAATGGTAGTAAAATTAATAATGAAATCATAAGTGATACGACATTTACAGATAATAATTTAAATTCTGGTACAATATACACATTTATTGTCAAAGCTATTTCATCGACAGGTACGGAAAGTATCGCTTCAAATTATGTTACTGCTAAAACAATAGGTAATTCACCAGCTGTAGCAATACCGAATGGCTTAATAGCTACATATATTACTGGTAATTCGATTACTTTGAAATGGAATTTAGTTTTAGATGTTGCAACATATAATATTTATCGTAATGGAAATAAAGTAGCAGATGTTAAACTCACATCATTTACTGATACATGTTTAAAACCTGCAACGAATTATCGATATCAAGTTTCATCGGTAAAAGATTTAATTGAAAGTGAAAAATCGATTGAAGTCAAAGTTAAAACACTTACTCTTAATGTATGCTTTAATGATAACAATTACAATCATATAATTTCAGGAAGAGCTTATCATAGTATGAATGATGCACTACCTGTTGATACAAATCAAAATCGAGAACTTTATAATAAATTTCAAAGAACAAAAGAAAACGATTGCATTATTGAATAAGAGAAATCTTAATTTGAAACAAACAAGAGAATTAAGATGAACATTCTAACCTTATGTATTCTTGCAATTCATAAAATTATCTATTGCAACAATAAAATATCTCTTTTTCTATAAAAACAACATCTGAAAGAAGTGTCAAAGAATATTTGGTAGAATTTTTGAGCACTATCTATATTTTTCCACGTATCCTAGCAGATAGTTTCAAGAGACTATTAAAACCTATATATGACTAGGATTTAATTGACAAATGTGAAATATTTCTTTGTTGAAGTTCGATGTAGTAAAGTAAGAAATGATGACGAAATATACAGCAATAGTTATTTTTACAAAAATACACGTTTCTAAGGGATTGCTAACAATGGATATACCGTGTTTTATATCTTAACCTTGAAAAGAAGATCGTGAATGATTTTTTGAACTGATCAAATGCTTTGAAAATCTGTCTCTTGCCAAAAGCGAAGATTATCTAACGATATTATATTACGAAATATGCAATACAAGTATATAAAAATGTCAGTTTATTGGTAGAGATTACTTCCATGGATACAGAAATATAACTAGACAACTGATTTTATTCAAAATATATATATTTGATCAAAGGTAAAAGATTAAAATTCATTTTATTTTATCTCCATGTATGAATAATTAAATTTTGTATTCATATTGTATATGTAATTACTAAGATGACTATTATTATGTACGTGTAACAAAGGCAACATTTTCTAGTCGAATAATCATTTTTTTATCTTTTCTGTCTGATTGGGACAATTAGTGGAATAGACGTGGGGTGTGGGTGTAAATATCCTTGTTCTCACTCACATTCACACTTCCAAGCGAATCGGAGTAGTCTCTTTCAACAAATTCATGACGTTACAGCTATTAAAATTCCATCTTTAACTTTCAAAGGTTCAAATTGAAATTTTCCAGCCAAACTCTCTATTCAAAGCATAACAGTATTTTTAGAAAGCGGAAGTATCTCATCTACTGACGATCAATTTGGGCATACAGAAGTACGATTTCCACTCGCTTTTCGCTACATACACAGACTAAGATCTATACTCAGACCCACACACATCCTTACATCGGACGTTAAGAGTGATTATTTACGGCTATCGTTTATTGGAACTGTCAATCAGCAATAGTAAACGTTGATCATTCATGAACTTATTTATTAGTCACACAGCTGTGCCACTTTGCCTACACTGATAGCACCGTTTTAGGCACAGGACAATCGATGGGAAACCAGGACTTATTTTTTCGAAATTTATTTTTCATATCAGGCTATCTATTCATTAAAAATGCATTAAATATGATATTCCATCACACCTACATCCACGCACATCTTTCATGAAATCTTATATCTTGCACTATTCATTGGAAATCTACAATGGAACGTTGTCTTTTTGATTTCAATCGTAGGAATATTCACAAAATTGTACATCTTGAAATACTTTTTACTTCATCGCAACAATCATTTATAATACAATCGGTGTGAATATATGATAAAAAATGTTGAAGAACAGCAAGATCTATAAAATTGCTTAGTCGGATTCTATCCAAATTATTATTATTAACGTCTTTTTTTAATGCTCGCATATTTCTACATCTATGAATTATTTCGATGACTCAACAAATAGATAGAATAGTTTGAAAGTGGGGGTGTGGGTGTTACATCTGTTTTTAGTCACACCCACACACTTGTCCTCATCTACACCCCCACCCTGTCGTGAGTCCTCGAAGACTTCTTGGGGGTGGGACTCTCTGAAGATCCACTAAGAGGTTGTTGACTGGAGATAAAGCAAATGATGAAGTAGATTTCTTAGAATTTATTTATATGATATTAACTGCGTATGAACATTCCGTATTATATGGATTCTCTGATGCTTTTTTTTCTGTTTCTTGTACCTCTGGAAAAAATTACTTTTGAATAAATCAGTAAAGATAAACAATAAAAAGACAGAAATTTCTGAAAAAACCTAATACGGCCTGTCCAAGCGTGATGGAATCACGTTTTATCACTTTGCTTTTTCAATATCTCAATGAAATGAAGTCCGATAAGGCTGAAATATTTATAGGTTATGTAAGTCTATTTCCCCTACATATATTGAAAGTTTCATTTGATTTCAAGTTTCCGTACCTACTTTATATCGTTGAAATATAGGTTGTGACGGAATCACCAAAAATGGACTTGAACTTTCAGTAGGGACCCGCGGAGTCAGGTTTTTTTATTCCGAAACCCGACTCCGACTCCGAAAAATATCTTCTTTACAGCCCCGACTCCGACTCCGAAAATTTTTATTTTTTGACTCCGATTCCAACTCCGAGAAACTCCGAATTTTTTTTATCAATAAAAGGAAATCTCAAATATGTTTTATTGTTTTATTTACAACATGCGGAAATTAATAATAAGGTTGCTACATTACTACTAGGAAGTCTCTCTAAAGTGAGCACGATCGAGACCATTGAAAAATGCTCCTAATAACCAGATGTTCGCCTTCAGAAGGTCCATTTTCAGCAAAAATTGCCTTTCCGGACTTGTGAAAAACACTAATAATAACGAGGTTTTCACTATAGAGAGGCACTCACTACTAGAGATTTTACTGTATTATTTTTTTATACTATTACTGGGTAATTGGTAATAATTTTATATACTTTATTGCTAGTAATAAACTAATAACAATATTGCTTATATGAGTTACTAGTTTTAATACTATACTACTTTATAACATTTTTACTTTCTTCCCTCTGTTACTTTCGCAGATTATTTCTAACTACATACAATAATTAATAACCTTATATGCTATTACTTACTACCTGTAATAGTAATGTAGTCCTGAACGATAAAGGAACAAACGAGTGAAGGAATATCTAAGAATCATTAATAGATTAATTTGAAATTTCTCGTACATTTGTTGTTCAGTGGAAATAAAAAACAATCAATGACAAGTGTTCGATGTGTACTGTGTTCAAGGAATCGAAAATTAGTGATCAAGAGAATTGTAGCACTTCCGATGAAATTGCAATATGTTTTCATTGATGACATTATGCTTTTACGTAGCCAGTCTTTTGAACGATACAGCCAAAAGATTATCAATGTGAGGTTTTTCCTTGAAACTCGTTCTTAATATATGTAGCAACTGTTATCTTTCTTTTTTTTGTTTGTTAAGCTGAAGAATAAAGCTGCTCTTATTTGAAATAGCAAAAGTTATTCAAACGTGGTCATGACTTTGATTCCGAAAAATTTTTTCAGAAAACCCGACTCCGACTCCGACTCCGAAAAATTTCGTTTTGCTGACTCCGGCTCCGACTCCGACGGAGTCGGAGTCGAAATCGGGTTTCGGAGTACTCCGCAGGTCTCTAACTTTCAGCGTTGTTCATAGAATTAAAAAACTTAGCTCAACTACAAATGTAATGAAAAAAGTTTCTCTAGAAAAGTTATAGCTCAGATAATGAACTATATATACAAAAAAAGAAAACTTGGAAAATTTGCAATGTCGATTTTGTAGACAGAAAAAGGAGTTGTGACGGAATCACATTTTCGTGACGGAATCACGTTTGAGAAATGATGAGGTTTTTGAACTTTAATTTTCTGCAGAAATATAAAGTTAGCTCCACAGATTAAACAATCTGATGTCATGCATAAGTAACGAAAAGAAAATATTTTGGCAGGGGTGATATGAAATTGGACGAATTGGGAGGAGGGAGGGGGAAGGTCGATAATATAGAAAATCGTTAAAACAATTTTCTAAAGATGACCGAACTTTGGGAAGGGGTACAAGCCTTTTTTGCAAATTGTTGAGCAAAAAAAACGAAAAGTTTCCAAGATTGGGGGTCACTCTTACTTCCCCGCTGTGGCGACATCCCTGATTTTCGGCCATTTTTCTGGTAAACAAAAATTATTTTCGAAGGTGTCTATCATACATTAGACATGGACATGTAAAAGGAGCTACACGCCAGAGGCAATGAATTCTAACAAAACGTTGCTCGATGAAGTTCACTTATCTGGCTGATATTTTCACAGTACGTAGGCATAGTAAAGTTAGAAAGAAACTAAAATTCACATCTCTAACGACGGAATCACTATGAAGATATAAATGTCACAAGTATGAGTATTTAGATACATTTGTAGTATCTTTCGAGCAATACTTATCAGTTAACTTTGATTTTCTAAAGAGCAACAAGAGTTGCAATAGAGACTTTTTTTTATCATAGATGCTGTCGACCATATTCTATCGTTTTATGAGTTTGAAACTGCTGTGTCAATTCATTTTTTGACTGATATCCTGTGGCATCGGTAGAAGTCATGCTCACTTTGGTATACAAAATTTTTTGAACAAAGCCAAAAAGGTCGAAATTGCTCTATGATTCTAGCAATATAAACTGATGATTTATTTCAAATGTTCGGTTTATGTAATTTAGAAGAGAATCTATGTCGTGAAACTTCTAAAGTCCAAATTTTAATTTGTTTGGACAAAACTGTGAAAGATGATAGAAAACGTGATTTCTCAAATCTTAGTGCTTGATTTTCGATTCGTCCAATATTTCATACATTTTTGAAAGAGAATGTTCTTCATTAGGAAATCACTTTTGAGTTAGAAGTGCACGCATGGGTGTGGTGGGTGTGGGTGTGTGGGTGTGGGTGGGTGTGGGTGTGTGGAGTGGGTGTGAGGTGTGGGGGTGAGGGTGTGTGTGGGAGTGGGGGTGTGTGTGGGGGTGGGGGTGTCTGTGGGTGTGGGGTGTGAGTGTGGGGGTTGGTATAGATGTTCAATTCACCGACATCCATACGCACACTCCACACACACACCCATACCCACACCCCACACCCACCCAACCCACACACCCACCCACACACCCATACCCACCCAACCCACACACCCACACTCACACCCAAATAGAAACTATTACCTGATCAAGTGAATAGTATGCCGGTTATCAGAAGAACTCGATAAATCTTAGGAAACGCGAAATAAACTCATTTAACGTGCAAATGATTACTTTCT